TATATATATATATATATATATATATATATATATATATATACGTGTGTGTGCAATAGTTACCGCTAATTTGATATCAACTATGTGTACCCGAACTATCGAGTATGCAAAGAATTTCATCAAAACAGGTGTTCGACTGCACAATAGAATGTTTCTGCTATGCAAAAGTGACCCCAGTTATCAATCAACCTAAACTCAGTGGTTTCCAACACGTGTAATCCGTTCCACGTTTGCTTACACTGACTAGGTGAGTGGAATTTGCATAAATAACATACCCTTCAGGACATATGATGGAATACTTAAGTTTATTATCTCGCAACGTGTGTGCACTTTTACTTTTTCGAATCAAAACTAGTACCCTCGTACCTAAATGACGCAGATACGCGGATATAAACCACTGTTTGTAATCCTCACCTTGATGAAGGCACGTAGCGCGTGTTCGTAGACGAGACACGCCTTTTCGGTGATCGGTGGTATATTATATCCGCACGGTCAATTTATATTTCGCAACTGTAGAGAATAACTGGATGATAATCGTAATAGTTAAGGATGGTCCTTAAGGCTGATCGCTAATACGAGTGCGTTAGTTAAGCCACATTCAAATGTGTCCAAACTAAGGTCCACGGATAGCATACTTCTTGTTCCAATAATTGCCAGACATCTTTTTGAAATATGAAATTATTCAATCATCAAATCGGATAAGTACATTAACCTACTGAGGTCACCGAGCTCACATACCTCTGTGGTGTGGGCTTATAACGATCTAAGTAGGCCGTTCGTCAACAGCAGCCGTTTTAGTCAGGCTACCCTGTTTCGCCATTCCTGTGCAATTTCGTCGTAGACGGAATACTGGAGAACGCACCAAGTGGTCTCTAAAATATTGGTATTGAACGATCGGATGGAGAAAAGCTGTGCAATTTAAAAAATGCCGATGACATCGTTTGTCAGGTTAAATGTATTGGGATGCGCAAAGAGCCCTTGAAAGATGAACAAATGCTGTTATTCCATTTTGTATGTGCAAAGTGATACTGCAGGACTGGATGTCACCTACTCGCTTTTTGAAACGAAATGACCAGAAATAAGTTAGCGGATTTTCCCTCCTACATAGATAGTTGTGTGACCAATGATGGTGCCGCAGCAAAGGAGATAACCACAATCATTCTCAAGGCACGGGCAGCGTACGCAGGATTGAAACACCTCTGGCATCGACGGACGTTCCACTGAAACTGAAAGGTCGTCTATATTGTATAACCGTTCGTTCAGGTCTGCTTTGTAGTTGTGAGACCTAGGATTTGCTAGTTACCGATACCCATGGACTGGAAGTTTTCGATTATCGGTGTTCACGTGGTTTGCCTCACATGGAGTGGAGTGAACAGCTTAATAATCTGGAGGTAAGCGGTCATGTGTTTGGGAGATTGTCAGGGATAAATTTGCCCGAGCGTCGAATCTAAATTAGACGACTTCGCTAACTGGGCCACATATGGCGCATTTCGCGCTGTCATCCCCCGCACTGCGTTTTATTTACATTTACCGCTCCGGTTGGTTGAAGACATTGAAAGATATGGCAGCGAACCGACAGCAGTGGCGTTCTTGTTCTCATTTCTTATCAGGCTAGACTGATTGAAACGGTATGTATGCATAGTTCGTTTGAATATTCTGTTTTTTTAATTACACATCTAGGTGTGATGAACAGCAGACGGGGTAAACCCATAGTCACGAGGACCTGCTGTTCAGTGGTTGAAATTGGCAACCTAAGCCCCGGAACTTGGAGTGGCGAACCACATAAGGCCCCGATAGGCTAGGCGTGGTATTGACCATAGAGGTTCACCTTCTCCTTCCCTCAAAATAGGTCCAGTCCCTGTCCACCCTTCATATTACTGCTAGCTTTACATGCATGATAAATTGGACAGCGATAAGTGAAGTTCGCTTCACTGTATTTTGCTGTTCGATGATGTTGACAAGATCTAGCACAACTCGATTGATGCATGGCTATGCCGCTCGGAACAAGGACGTCGATTGACGGACTTTATAATATTTCGTAATAAATTAGATGAGTAGTCTCGGTCATGGTCCACTGTAGTGAAAATGATTGATTGATCGTGATGTGGGGTTTGGAAGTGAAGGAGCAGAGTTTTTTTAGTTCTCCTTGTGTATTTTGGAAGTATTCACAATCGATGGATTGAGTGAGCTGGTTCATTTCCGGGCTGCGTCCCTGGGTCATACCAAAGGTTTTGATCGACTTTCAG